CCAAGCTGAAATCGAATCATAGGTGATTTTCCAGTGGGTTTTCAGAGGCCATATATCATACAGGAAATTGCCTATCTTTCTCCCATGGAGCAGAAAGTAGGTTCAAACTGTATGCCTTCTGTGTGGAATGCAGCTCCTTACCACTAGTCCACCACAGCACTATTCAAGGATAGTATTCACACTACTATATCACCACAGTAATGTAAACTGACAAAGAAGTGATGTTTTAGAACATGTCAGTTTAAAAACTAAAGTTCACTTGCCCTAGATATGGTATTTTCAATTGCTTTATATGCACGTGGTAGATGGAACTGTGGTGCTGGTAAACAGTACTGACTATTACCATCGAATGCTAAAAGAAGAAACATATCTGTCTTGGAGGATGTAAGCCAAGGTACTCCATAGAGGCAATGTTGATGAACCTTCATCTTACATGTTTTGGGTATTGTCAAGAGGGTCCAGTTCTTAGAAAAAGATATTATGCTAGGAAAAGTAGAGGGTTAATAAAAGAAAGGAAAACCTCTAGTAAGATGGACTGACACAAATGACTGCAAGAATAAACTTGAGCATGGTAGAGATGGTGAGAATAATACAGAATAGGGCAACATTTTGATCTCGTTTTAGGGTCTCTAGAAGGCATAGTCAACTCAATACCTCACACTACTCTGTGAACATACATAGAACTGGGGAAGAGGCTTGGGCAAGGTAACACACAGACAAACGAAACTATTTAATAGATCCATTTAAAAGTGAAATACTTTAGTAGCTGAATACACAGAATGATTTCTATCTAGCCAAAAATAGGTCAAGATGTTGGAAACATTCCCACAGAATGAAACAGGATAAATGGGACACTAATACTTAGATACCTGTTGAATAAATCATATATCAACTCTATTTACAACATAGATAGTGGACACAATGTGAGAGAAGGATATTAAGACCAGTAAAAAACCATCTATTTCTAATTTCACAAAATTTCTATGTCTAAGTGCACAAGATGTCTAAAATTAGAATCAACTTGAATATGCTTTCAAAAAGGAATAAAAATGATAATCACCCTTTTATATTTTAGACCAACCAGACTATCATTTCTTATGGGCAGTCACCTATGAAAGAACAAGTCTAGTGTCTATGTACCTGGCCAAATGCATAGCACTTAGACGTATTATTGTGTGCATTATCTGAATGGACACACATGAGTAATAACAAAACATTAAGCATATGGAATTATACTAGTTCTAAGATATATTCCTGTATTTTATGGTGCAGTGATAAGAAGTTACACTGCAATCCCAAAGGCATGCAGTTTGAATCTATCACTTGCCCTGGGGAAGAAAAGGACAAGCAATCTCTTCAATATGATTAACTGCCTCTGAAAATCTGCTGGAGGATCAGCTATGAGTTGGTTCTGACTTGACACATAAAAAGATGTATATGATATAATCCTAGTTCTAATATTTCTGTATTTATTTATAACTTGAGTTTTAAAATATTTTACATATATCTTCTTTTGTTGTTCTTTGGACACTACAATAATCATCAGTCCAATTAAAATTTATTACCTGCCTGTCCCCAAAAGACTATTCTTACTTCCATTTTAAATATATATATAAGGCTAGGACTTGTCTTTTTTTGGGAAGGTATTTTTTTTCAGTCTTTATTGTGATTTTTTTGTTACTTTATTATTATTATTTTATTTTTATTATTATTATTTTCAATGAA